TGGAGTACAATGGCATGATCTCAGCTCACCACAACTTCTGCTAATTTTGTATTTTTAGTAGAGACACGGTTTCTCCATGTTGCTCAGGCTGGTCTTTAACTCCCGACCTCAGGTGATCCGCCCACCTCAGCCTCCCAAAGTGTTGAGCCACCGTGCCCAGCCTAAAAATAGCTATTTTAAATAGCACTTGCTTGAAATGATTTCATATGAGTTAAAACTATTTTATCTTTTAATATGGCAAAAATAATGGATTCATATAAAATCAGAGCAGATCTTGATGGTATTTCAAGATATAAACTACCAACCCAATAATTTCTGAAGATAACATTTTAGAGTCTCTTCCTCTGTGAGAAGCTTGAATGTTTACAAATATAGTATTCACTGTGAGGCTTCTTGTTTCTTTTCCTTTCTAAGACTCTAACTTATTTATTTTACTATTACATGAAACACATTTTATTTTAATTTTTAAAGTTTTCGTATTTTTTGAGACAAGGTCTCATTCTGTTGCCCAGTTTGGAGTGCAGTGACATGAACATGGCTTGCTTCAGCCTCACGTTTTTAGGTTCTGGTGATCCTCCAGCTTCAGCTTCACGAGTAGCTGGGACTACAGGTATACACCACCTCACCTAACTAATAATTCATTTAATTTTTTTTTAGAGATGGGGGTCTCGTTGCCTACACTGGTCTTGAACTCCTGGGCTCAAGCAGTCTTCCTGCCTCGGCCTCCCAAAGTGCTGGGATTATAGACATGAGTCACCACACCCAGCCTTATTTAAATAAGATTTGAGGAAACTTTAGTAGCTGGTTAAAACTCTGGCAATGATCTTGGCTTCAAATCACCAAACTCCTTTTTGCATGGTGTAGAGACTCATTACAACTCTATTTTTTAAAAAGACTTTATTTTGTAAAGGTGTACATGCTTCTTATAAACAAATTAGTAATACACAAAAGTATAAAGTAAAATCCCAAAATTCTATCACCTAAAAATAACCATTATTAACATTATTCCACAAACCTTCCCTTTGCATATATACACAGAGAGATAAATTTACAGAAAAGGCTCACACATACCGTACATACATGAAGATGAAGCAAAATGAAGAAATTGAAGCTAAAGCAATATAAATTACCAAATTTTAGTTAAATGTTTTTTTGCAAGATACTTAGTTCCTAACAATCCCTTTAAAGTTTTGAAAAAAAGATTATGAAAAGCATTAAGAGTTTGAAAGTCTACACGATTAACTTTTTTTTTTTTTGAGACAGGGTCTTGTTCTGTTGCCCAGTCTGGAGTGCCTTGATGTGATCATAGCTCACTGCAGCCTTGACCTCCCAGGTTCAACTGGTCCTCTCATTTCAGCCTCCCAAGTAGCTGGAACCACAGATGTGTGTCACCATGCCCAGCTAATTTTTAAAAATTCTTTTGTAGAGACAGGATCTCCCTGCGTTGCCCAGGCTGGTCTCTAACTCCTGGGCTCAAACAATCCTCCCACCTCAGCCTTCCAAAGTCCCAGGATTACAGGTGTGAGCCACTGTGCCTGGCTGGAAAGCCCTTATAATAGTAGCTGGCATAGTAAGTCTTTATAGTAAATGTAAGCCACTGCTATTATAGAGGAATAATGGTGAGCATCTGGGCCCATGTATGATATTGAGATCTGTCATTCACAAAATAATCTCTTTATCGCTCATTCATCTCAGAATACTTTTCCTGTTAAACTTACCAGCTCCAGGGTAATAAATGTGTGAATAGGCGATTCTGTCCTCTGTTTATAAGAATGGCCAGAACACAAAATTCTAGTCTTTTTACAATCCTAAACATATACTATGGGCTACCTATAACCGCAATAATCACCATTATGCATGTCACTTACATGTACACACTAACATAAAGAACTTTGTATCTGTGCATTAAAATCCTCTTTAAAAGTAAACTGTTAGCCTGGGTAACCTGGTGAGACCTCGTCAACAAAACAAAACAATTAGCCAGGCACCTATAGTCCCAGCTACTCTGGGGTTGAAGTGGGAGGATCACTTAAGCCCAGGAAGTCAGGTCTACAGTGAGCCAAGATCACGCTACTGCACTCCAGCCTGGGTGACAGATTGAGATGCTGTCTTAAAAAAAAAAAAAAAAAAAAGAGGTAAATTAAAGTTAGTGTTTCTGAATACCCACAACATTATGAAATTTATATTGTGTTTTTTTTTTTGAGACAGAGTCTCACTCTGTCACTCCGGCTGAAGTGCAGTGGCACAATCTCAGCTTAGTGCAACCTCTGCCTCCTGGGTTTAAATAATTCTCCGGCCTCAGCCTTCTGAGTAACTCATCCTGACCTCAGGCGATTTGCCCGCCTTGGCCTCCCAAAGTGCTGGAATTACAGGCATGAGCCACCACATCCAGTCAATATTCTGTCCAATGTTTTCAGTTTGTTAATCTGTAAATTTTTTTTTTAATAAAAAGCTTTATGAAAACAAAGGTAGATTTCACCTCCCTACCTTATTTCTTGATGATTCCTGAATCTGAACTTCAACGGAGTTGATGACTTTTAAAGATGTTCTTAAGTCCACTAAACTCTACCATCCTCTTTTGAGTATTAATATATTTATTTTCTTTGATAGAAAAATGCTATTCAGATCCTCCATGAAGACACGCATTTACTTTCACTACAAACTCATCTTTTCAGCTGCTTTTCTGATACTCTATCCCAAAAAAGAATTTTAAAAGTGAATTTTATGATGCAATTTTTAAAAGTTTGGTTTACATCTCAAATCGGATTTTTCTTTGTTGGGGGCAAGGGGAGGGAGAGTTGATGAAAAATTCTAGCTGCTTCTCTGAGCTAAGGCTAAAGTTTTTTTTTGTTTTGTTTCTTTATCACGTTTGGTAATTTAGGGATACACATCACCGCCAAATAAGAGAATATATGCCAATATTCCATTTTGGCTTTGCTTTTTTTTCCTGCATAGTGAGTATGTTGACTTTTTTGGAAATTATATATTACAAATTCTAGGCTAAGAGTTTATCTGATCTCGAGTTTGGATGTGAAAGAGGATGATTTGATGTTTTTAAATTATGCTTTAATTTCTCCATTAATGAAAATAAATTACACTTGTGAAATTATGGATTTTAAACCTGACTTGATTTATGTTGGCTTAAAGAAGTTTTAGTGTCTCCACTAAAATGAGATATAGATCAACTACTCAGCTTTACTATGTATTGTGAATGAGCTAAAAAATACACAAACAGTAAGAAATTACAAACATCTCTAACACAAATCTAAACACGAAATGCAGGAGCCATATTCCTGCTATATTTCTCTGTCTTCCTTTCTAAGTAGCTCACAGGACACAAATGTAGCAAAATCAATAAATGCTGAATTCATGACATCACCTAAATGTGCAGTATTCCTACCTTAATAGTCTTCTAACCGTACGATACCTGTGAGTAAGTAAATTTCTTTATAACGATCTCTGAAAGATGGCCTAAATTCTTTGGCTGTATTGAAATCTATCAAATATTGCTTTTAATAAACCACTGCCTTGAGTTTGGAAATCGTTTTCTACACAAAGTCTTTGTTGCATTTGTGGGGGAAGGGATGGCATTTTTTGTAACAGGATTTGACCTGTAACTATTATTAAGAATTTTCTTAGAGGAGTTCAAAGCATTTTACAGGGATCATCTCATTTATCCCTCGAAAGTAAGGCAGAGGCATTATCTCCACTACAGATTGAGAACACTAAAAGGCCAGGATAGGTGGGGCTTTTGTTGTTGTTTTGCTAAGATCAAAAAGTAATTCTAGGGCAAAGCCAGATTCCGGTCTGACCTTGTTACATGATGCTTCTCGCATCACCATAATACAATGTAGTTGCTTCCCTAAGTCTCTCTTTGGCTATGCTAGGTGTTGAATAATTTTCAGGGTCTATTTTTATTCTTCCCTGCTCCCTGAAAATGGGTGTTAAGATGTAGGTAAGTACAAAAGAAAACTCCCCAATCCTTCCTATCTGGATTTGGAGTACAGGATAAACAGACAGAACCATGCATCTTCCTCCCCTCCAAGTTTTACTGCCTAGCCCAGTGCTAACAGAAAAATAACCTGAGACGCAAATGCAAGTCATATGTATAATTTAAAATTTTCTAGTAGTTACATTAAAATATATTGTATTTAGCCCAATACAGCATATCCAAAATATTAATGCTTCAACACGTAACCAATATAAAATTGTTAAAGATATTTTGCATTCTTTTTCTTGTATGGCTTCAAAATCTGGTGTGTATTTCTCACTTACAGCTCATTTCAATTTGTATTAGCCACATTTCAAATGCTCAGCAGCCACCTGTGATGAGGGGACACTGCTGGACCCTTCAGATTAGTGCCATGTGAATTAAATGGGTGGTATTAAATGGGAGAACGGATGCTGAGTCCTTGGAGAGTCAACTTGCACTTGGGTGGTGACTGATAAGAAGCCCTAGCTTTGCCATTTCCTGATACATGACTGTTTTTGAAGTTATGGGCTCAGGATCTAGAAGACTGCAAATCCCCAAATATGTCTAATCCCCAAGCTCACTCATGCCAGGACTATGCTTCACGGCCTGTGTGAGAACCTAAGCTATGGAACCTGCCATCTTCTAGGGCTGCAGTGTCGTTGGACCCCCATAGGTGGCCCGTGGAAAGGGGCCATCACTCGAGGAAGAGGAGGGCTCCTAGATGGGGAAGGCCACCCAACTAGGGGCTTCTTGAGGGCAGGAGCTCCAGCTGGCCGCTTCCTGAGGGCAGGTGGTCCTCTGGTGGCCTTAGGCAGGGCCTCGAAAGGGGCACACGTGTTTGCAGCACCAACTCCGGTGCTTCCACCAAGCGCTCCAGGGGATGCGGGTATAGTGTCAGCACCCCAGCCCCAGCCCGCTCCCTGAAGTGGATCCAAGGCCGCAGGTGTGAGGGGCGGGTCCAGGGCTCGGCCCGCGCCGCCCCATGTGACCCGGTCCGACATGGTGTCGCCTCCTCCCGGGGCAGCGGCGGTGGCGGCTCGGGTTGGGCTCCGCGTCGGCCCGGCCCCGCGGCCGCTCATGGGCAGCCAGGGCCGCTCGGGGCCCCCCGGGAACGGCGGGCCCGGTGAGGTCGAGGGCGGAGAGGCCAGGAAACTGCAGGAAGGGAGGGTCGCGAGGGGGAAGCGAAGGAAAGGGAAGGGGAAGGGAAAAGCGAGCGCAGGGCAAGGCGGAAGAGGAAGCGGGGCGGAAGGGAAGCCCGGGCCGCAGACGGTGAAGGAGGCAGCGGGGCCGGGGGCTGAGGCGGGAGCGAGGGCAGGCCAGAGGGAGGAAGCAGAGGGAGGCGGAAGCGTGGAGGACGGGGCGAGAGGCATCAAGGGAGATAAGGGGAGCGCAGGAACCGGGAAGGAGGCACAAGGAAAAGAGTATGGGAAGAAGGAGGAATGGAGGGTCAGGGCTAGGCGGCGGGAGGGCGCCAGGCCGGGAAGAGCACAGGGACGAGGGGGCCAGGCTTGGGCCGACATCGCGGGGACGGGGGCGGCCATGGCGGCAGCTGCCGGGGAGGAGGAGGAGGAAGCTGCTCGGGAGTCGGCCGCTCGCCCGGCCGCGGGCCCTGCACTCTGGCGCCTGCCGGAGGAGCTGCTGCTGCTCATCTGCTCCTACCTGGACATGCGGGCCCTCGGCCGCCTGGCCCAGGTGTGCCGCTGGCTGCGGCGCTTCACCAGCTGCGACCTGCTCTGGCGCCGGATAGCTCGGGCCTCGCTCAACTCCGGCTTCACGCGGCTCGGCACCGACCTGTAAGCGTCCGCTCGCCCGCCTGCTCCCTGCCCCGGGCCGGCCCCGCATCCTGGGAAAGGGCGGGGCGCCGCGGCCTGGTGGGCCCAGGGACGTGTCGCACCCCGAGTTCCGAGGCCTGCACCTGGCCTCCGCCGACACCCTTTCCCGAGCACTCTCAGAGACCCCACTGCCCCTCCTCCCCAAGGCCTCCATCTGAGGCAGCTTTCCGAGAGCATCCCTCAGTGGGCACCCTCCCCGATAGGCCGTCCTCACAACTAGTCATCTTAGGCACTCTCTACAGCTTTGCATTGTGTCTTTTTGCAGAGGTTTAACTGCCCCGGCTCCTTAGCCTCAGAGGAGCCAGGTTGGTCTATGTGGTTTCTTCGTGCTTTGGACCACTCCTCCAGTCCAGGTCTAGGACCCAGGTTCCTTAAGTGGCGTATCATCATATTTTTGTGGCCTTTGATTTTTCATCCTCCCTACCCTCTTCTAAAGGTTAAGCTTCAGGTTTCGGACCCTAATGGAAGGCCCTCCGTCCTAGTGTTCAGCCATAGTTTATGACTCCACACGAAAAAGGGGGCCTGCTTGAGGCAGGAGGCTGAAGTTGGTCTAGGCTGTGCGCAAGACATGGTATTGCAGTTTGGCCTGTTTTGGTAGGGTCTGAGACCTGTGAATGAAAAACTTTCTTCAGCCACTTAAGCTGTTAAATAGGAGGAAAAAAACCTGTAGGGAATTGAGGGAGTGAGAGCTTTCAGATTGCCCCTATTCCACCCATTTTTTTTTTGAAAAAAGGTAGTTCTTTCTAGCACATTATGACAACATTAGAGAAAGTTTTTAAAAACATAAAAAGCTATAATACCATCACCTCTAGACAATTATTTTCATTTAAAAACTTTTCAGGTGCACACATAGTTGCTATCTTACTGATCCTAACAGAATAGATGCATAGTAAATGTTTGTGGGCTGTCCCATGAGATTGAACATCCCTCTACTATTAAACTTACATGTTGTGTTCAGCTTTTTACTATTATCGATAATGAAATAACGCATTTTTGAGTAACAGCTTTACTGAAATATAAGCTACATGTCATACCATACATATTTAAAAAAATTAGTTCCTTAGGATAAAGTCTCAAGGTGGCATTATAGCAGAGGTTATGATTTGCAGAGGTACTGTACCAAGTTAGAGGGGGACCAGTACAGAGTGAAAAAATTTTATGTGAGAATTTAGAATATCTTTGCTACTTTAGTGGGCATTTAAGGTATCAAATTTGTGTTATTTTGCATCTCTTTTACCACTGGCCAGGATAAATATTTTCCCAGGTGTTTGTTTTACCTGCGAGACTGTCTGTTCCCACTCTTTGCCCATTTATTACTGGGGTCTTTGTGTTTTTCTTATAAATTTGGAATCTTTGTGGGTCTTAGATGTTAGAATCTAGTCTGCCATTTTTGATCCAGTTTTCCCAGTCAATTGATTTTACTTTACTGTTTTACACTTTATTAGGCTCTGCCAGTCTTTTGTGATTTTTTTCCTGTTTTCCCCCATAGCTGACAAATTTATAATTCCTCCACAGACCTGATAAATCTGTTTTCCACTGGTTTTTTTATAATTTTATTTATTTATTTTTGAGACAGAGTTTCACTCTTGTCTGGGCATAGGCTGGAGTGCAATGGCATGATTTCGGCTCACCACAACCTCTGCCTTACAGGTTCAAGCAATTCTCCTGCCTCAGCCTCCGGCATAACTGGGAGTATAGGCATGCACCACCACGCCCGGCTAATTTGGTATTTTTAGTAGAGATGGGGCTTCTCCGTGTTGGTCAGACTGATCTTGAACTCCTGACCTCAGGTGGTCCTCCCGTCTCGGCCTCCCAAAGTGCTGGAATTACAGGTGTGAGCCACCATGCCCGGCCTAATTTGGTTTTTTAATATTAACACTTGCATCAATATCACTTTTGGTGCAATAGGTGAATTCAACTTACTATTTTTGTTAGGTAGCCTCAATGACTACCTAGTTCTCATCACAACTTTGTTAAGTAATTCTCTTTTCCTTTGTTTTGGAGAGCTTATTTTGCTATATAATGTTTATATATACGTATATACACATATAAATATGTGTTTATATTGGATCTATATCTGAACTTCATTTTGTGTCACTGATATATTTTTCCATTTCCATACTATTTTAAATATTGTTACTTTTTGGTAGAGTCTAGTATCTGTCAGGGTAAGATTATCCTGTTGGATTTATGTGTGTGTGTCACCTCCACACTTCTGTTCAACTCTCCATCAAAAAAAAAATTCTGTGCTTTTCCAGGAACTTCTGTGGTTCTCATGATAAAGTTCTCACATATATGTTGTTGCACTTACTCCTATGTATTTCTAAATATGTTATGCATTTCGTTTTTATTGCAAATGTACTCTCTTTGGCATGTTTTCTGGCTGGGTATTATTGAATGTAGAAAACGAGTATAAGTAAATTTTGGATTTGTGGTTTTAAATTTTATTCTAGGATGATTTTGTTCATGGTAATGATTCTTTGGGACTTCTTGGGCATGCAGTCTTGTCACCTGCAGAAATAGTTTGTTATTCTCTTTCAAAGAATATTAGCAGTTGACCTATAAGAGAAGTTGTCTAAAATGACTGGAACTCAAGCCAGCCAAGGCAAAGTTTGGCTTTCTTTCTCTTCATATAGAGATTGAGTGAATAAATGAAAGAAGTTGTGTTTATTTTCAAATGCTCTAAAAGAGAGATATTGGGAATGCGTCTACATTCTGTAGCAGTAATAACAAAAAAATGAAAATGAATTTATGAATTTATGGTGTAAAATGCTTTGAGACTGCCATATGGTATGGCTTTATTATTTGACCGTGGTAACATGTGTGTTTTGATTTCTTGCCCGTGTCCTAGGGTAAGGTGTCCTGGCCTTCTAGGGAAGTTGTTTTACCATAGCCCTTGATAAAGAGCAGGGTCACTGCTCGGGTTTTCTGGGTTGAGGGAAGAAGTTATGTGTGTTACAGCAGGTGGAGAGAATGTTTACCAGTGTGGTCTGTTCCTGGACAGCTGCGGAGACTTAATAAGCCACTGAGAGAGGTGGTTGTCATCCCTGGAGGGAGAAGGCATGTACCCCACTTCACTTAGGGAGTCAGCAAACCTGATTCCAAAGTACAGCAAAAGTATGACTGGATGGTGGCAGAGCTGTTGTTCATGCTTTGGGCTAATTAACTGCAGACTAGATAAGTGAGATGCGTTTTTATCAGCATTACACAAAAGTTGATTTTATCAGAAGCCACATAACCTCACTGGGCCTAGGTTTTATTATCTATAAAGAATGGGAATAAACTTGCCTGGTAAAATTAGGCTTAAATGTAGAATGCTGGCTAGTACAGCATTCAGCACATAGTAAGCACTCAATAAATTGTAAAATGGAACTTTTTAATTGCTTGGCTTCTCCTCTAGTTAGTCTGTATATAGCATAAGTGGGGCTGGTTTGACTCAGAGGTGCTGCCTAAAGACAAAGGGGAAAACACGCGCGCACACACACACACCCTGCTTGGTTTCTTTCACCTGTCCTGAATGTTTTTGGAAACATGACAGCAGAACCTGTGGACTTAGGGCCTGTACTCTGGGCTGAAGAGCCTCTTGATTCTCAGAAACACAAACTGCTAAGGTTTACTGACCTTCCGGCCCAGGGCACGTCTTATTCAGTTTGGCTGTTCCTAACTGATCATAGCTTTGTTGAGTAAGATGAACTGCTTTGGTTCCTTGTGATTTGCTAATGGTGTTATACTTGTGCTTGAAGGCATTCTGGACACTTTAAAACCACAAACAAATAATTTGCTTCCCATTAGGCCTCTTGCCTGAACAGTGAACACTTGCAAGTATCCTAAGCTTTTATTTTATTTTTTGAGGGACACAAAGATAGTTGAGTCAGTCATCTGATTTACAATCAGTTTTGTTTGGAGATTTTATGAAGCCTAGGGGAGTAGAAATATCCTGAATATAACAATAAAAATCAAAGAAATGTTTCATACGGCAATCTTTCAAATTTTCCCTAAAGAGTTAGAGGACAAACTAACCTATTTCAGTTTACAAGAACAAAACAGTGGAATTCAGCTCTCAGCTGATAACGTAGGCTGAATGCAAGAAGTACACAGTATGATGGGGGGAGAACAGGAGTGCTCTCTGCAAATTCTGTTACTGAAAATTAACAAACGCAAATAATAGAAAAAATATTTCTATGCAATGTAAAGCTATTTTTAAAAGATACTATTGCCAGTCTTATGTTAAAGAAAGCTTACTTAATCCTCTTCCTCCTGAATTAAGTGCTACATATTCTCAAACAGGAATTTTATTTGAAATAGCCTTTGAGCAGTTCCTGGGTGCTCTCTTGCATTTGCCTATGATAGATTTGCCTGGAATTAACAATAGGTGTTTAGGGAGTGAGGCTCCTGAGGTGTTTGTCCTGGCATGTATATTCATTCCTGTGGAGGGGTCCTATAGCCTTGGAGCTCTTTGAGGCTGGGGGCCTGGGGTATCTATTTCAGTGATGATTAACGTCCAGAGTGGTGAGATAGACACAGATAAGCAGAGTGTGTTTATTTGTTTTAAAATGATTGTGCTTAAGAGCATTTTCTTGGCCCAGAAAGCATATAGTTTGCTAACTCTGAATGGAGATGGTATTGCTAACTGGTTACCTTTAAGGCCTAAACTGTGATCTTCAGAAAACAATTAACAACTCAAAGTAGCTTAGGTTTTCTCCAGTTTTCTGCCTTACCCAGGGAGGAGAGTCACCTGTTTGTTCTCTAGTTCACTGAATGGTTTCGTATATGGATGTATTTATTGTCTTTAGCATTTGGAAAGGTCTTATTTTTAATGGTTTCTATGAGTTAATAAAATATAGTTTACAGGTTCAAAATAAAATAGTACACCTGTGGAAGCAGGGCATGCTCTAGTGCAACCGTTACCTCCAAATGCGAACTGGAAGAGTGGAAGAGGCCTCCTCTAAGACCATGAGAAT